CTTTTATTGTTTTTGATGCTTTGCATTCTGGTAGGTCTCGTGAAAATCTGCCAAAAATGGGCACGGCACTCTTCTCTATGCCGCTCCTAAAGCCAGACCTGGAGTCAATCACGATCCGTGGTTTCAGAGTTTTCCTTGGCAGAATAATCTTCATCTCTTCTTGCTGCAGATTATAGGAACATATAACCAAGCTAGGAAATTTTACACTTCAAATAAAAGTGTGTTGCTATTTCTGCACATCCCACTAACAACAGTGCAGTTGGACCCACGGTTTATGTTATGGTCAGTCATGGGCAGAGCTGCGGGCCTCGTGTTTTTGAACCATAGTACGGTCCTGATGCTTGTTGTCCGAAATTGCAAGGAAATATTTTAAACATGTGTCCTGCAGCAGCGCTACTGACAGAAAATCATAAAAAATGTGTATTATGTGTGTAAGGTTTCTTGGCTGTGCTAGAATAAATGCTTTCCAGATGGCAAATAGCTGATCAGGTATATCCAATCTGAGAGGAACCAGAAAAAAATTAAATAAATAATCTAGGGACGGGGCAGCAAAGCAGGAAATTAGTAGAAAAACAAGAGCTCAGCAGATCCTGGTTTCCTGTTTTAGGGGGAAAGCAAGAGCACGTTGGGGTCGGTAGTTACAGAGCCCCATTGTGAGCAAGTGTGTTGTGCAGTAGGGGGGTGGGGTGTACAGGGACCATACGCAGGGCCATATTTTTCTTCTTATTACTGAATCCTTTAACCCACCTGCCCCTCCCGACAAAGGAAAACTACCTAGTAAAAAAAAGAGAGAGAGAGAGAGAGAAAGGAAACTGTAAAAATAAACGAGCAAAGGCCTCTGCTAGACCCGCCAACCAGACAGGAAATGACACGCGGCACAAAAATGGTCTCCGCTGACCTCTTTCAGGAACCAAGGTGGCAGTTAACACCCCCTCGCTTTTTTTCCATCATACCTTCAGACATGTTTGTTTCTGTCTTTTTTTCCTTTATTGAGTCGTATACAGAGAAAACTGCAATTAAAGTATAGAAATCACGCCGCAACCCACTGACTTTCCATTAAAAAAAAACTTTAAAAAAAAAAACTCCAGCAACAGGAAATTCTTAATTCCAGTCTGGTGATAATGAGTGGCCATTCCCCCGGCTTCCGTCATTTTCCCAGCTCCCTCCAGGGCTGGAGCCTAAACAATGTCAGCACTCCAGTTGCTGCTGCTGTGCTCCTGATAATGGAGCACTCCATGTCTGGAGCGCTTTACAGACCATGTCTTCATTATTACCCTCTCGCTGCCCTACAAGCACGTCGCTCCTCTCCAGTCTGCATGGGGCCCAGGCGCTCATCCCCTGTATCCAACAGAGCAATGACTCTTCAGAATGGCAGAGGACCAGTCCCATTGATCAGGAGGAGTTTTGGGGGGGGGGGGGCTTTTTAAAGGGCTGCCTCTGGTGTTAAGCCCAGCGGCGGCAGACAATGGCCCCTTTTGGATTTGGGAGCGAGCTTGAGTTTGTCACCGTCTAATCATACGCGCCACATGTAGCGTAGGGGATGAAGCACTGCACTCAGAAGGTTACAAAGCATAACTCAAAAAGAAAGGTCGTAGTGGCTGTAACAATGTGTCGCCATCAATCAGCTCATCGAGCTTTTGGAAGAAATAGATGCTGCTCCTGAGGAGGATGTTGAAAAACTAAAATAATAGCTACAATTTAAACTTTAGACGTTAAAATTGTTGATATTTTCATGGTCTGCAAGCATGAGGCTTTGAAGCATTCATTGTCTCTGCTGTTATCCTCTTCCTTGGTGACAGCTGTTTTCATCAGTGTCGAGGTCACTGAGCTGTGAAGCTGCTGTAAGATGGGGCGCTGGCTACTCCTGAGGGCACGCACACAAGTCATCGCCTGAGTGTGAAGCCTGCTACTCTATTTTCAATCTACTGTACTGAAGGTTTTAAATAGCGCTGGAAACAAATCGGACACTGTGAGCCAGTGGTAAGAGGCGGCTCCAGACATTCAGCTGGGATTGTGCCGGCGAAGTGCTTGGACAGTGCTTCAGTTCCTGTTTTCGTTCACATTTACCAGCCTGGTGATAAGAGAAGGGATCAGAGGCAGCGGTGTGTTAATAATCAGGTCAGAGCCTTGAGCCAGACAGGAAATGCACATTGGCTTGATGCAGTTGGGATAAGATTCTTCTTGAGAAACATGAAATCCACATTGGCACAGTCACTATATAGTTCTGGCTTCATTCATTAGCTTGAAAGATACATTTTGCTCCTGTGTTTAAGATTTAAGACTTCCAAACCAGCAAATCAGAGAAAATAAAAGTACTAACTTGATAAAGGAGAACTAAATTATTTTCATAAGGGTCAATTTCATAACTTTCCCACATATAGCATCTGTGTTTGAATCGAAATTTAACTACCTATCAAAAACAGCACCCAAATATTTACATATCAGTGCACTGCAGCGACCGGCTCACCTTTAATAGCACATGGTGCAGGGACAGAAGGAAGTGGCCTCCTCCAAAAATCAACAAACGCTTCTTTGGTTTGGTTTGGTATCCAGGCACAAATTTGAACTCAGTCCAATGTCCTGTGAGAACAGCACGGCTAACATGTTTGTGTACTTGTGTAAGTCTATTTGGATTTATGTTATGTTTGTGTCATTCTAGTATCATCTGTTGATTTGTGATTTTTTTAGGTGTTTTTTTTCCACCAGACAATATAACAGGAGATAACACACCAGAAGAAATGAGTTAATTTAGTTGTTCTGTGCAGTACATTACATTTATTAAGAAGCTAATTATAATTAGCCATTATATTTTTCTCGAGATCTTTAGTTTGCTGATCTGAGGACATTTTAAGCAGGAGATTTTTACAATATGAAGGAAAAGAAATAATGCACTGTCTTAATAATAAATGTGTTGTGTAGATCATATGAGCAGTGTTATAGTAAACATTACCTCCATGTGCAAGAAGGAGGTGACAAAAACAAGCATTTAAAGACAAGCCTTGAAACTGACACTTCTATCTAGCAACTGAATCCCAGCTTACAGCGACTCTGTGGCACTTTTGTGTTAGCATTTTAATCCAGCTGTAAGAGCATGTTTGAGTCCGTACAGATGGGGGTAACATGAACTATTTCATGCTAGTGTGTGGCTGTGCGCACGTGGAGCATGTGTGTGTCAAAGGGACAGACAGGGAGGGAGCGAGACAGATCTCAGGGAGAGGAAGTAGTGGGCAGTGCCGCGTCTTTCATCGCTGCACTAATGAGCCCCGTGACACACAGACTGGAAACAGCAGTATTGTTCTTCCCCTGCCTGGGTCAACAAATTCTATAAAGCTAATGTCCCCCAGAAACACATGTATATTCAGAGTGAGACGCAGTACCACAAAGATTGCTATTTTATATTGTGACAGACTCACAATATAGTCCGGAGACACACACAAACACACACACAGATACTGAAAAGTGTAGCTGTTCTCTGTCAAACACCCAGATTGCTCTTTGATTTGATTGGTGATATGCTTTTTTTTTCTGCTTATTTAGAATCACAGAGGTGGAAATATCTCCAATTTTTAAAAAGCTGTGAAATTGTTGCAAATGTTCTGACTGACAAGCTGGCACACACTCAAAGATCTGAACCGAGCAAACTTTAGCCTGTTGGTCTGGGGCCAGTTTTTTTTTTTTTTTTTTTTGCTCCATCATTTCAACCAGTCTCCTGTTTCGAATCTAAATATGAGTGATGGCTTAGAAGGACCAATAGCAAAACCCCCTGATCTTTTTGAGCATGTCTCAGCCACACCGCAGTGTAATTTCTTTGCTCGAAGCATTTTCTACAACAATTTTCCCGCCGTAGCTTACCCAGAAAAGTTCATCTCTTGGAAAGCAGACAAAACAGTGGTTAAGAGACGCCTGAGGTGATGTGAAGCAGCGTGGTTGACAACTGCCGTGGAAGATAATGTTTTGTGGAAAACAAAAAGGACCAAAAGGTCCTCTGAGGTCTAACATAACATCGAAGTCTTTGTTAAAAACAGAAATTGAGAAAAACGCAGCTGCTGCACTGATGCTCCTGTAAGGAAATCTGACTCTGCGTCTGCTCTGATGGGAGCAGAACTATTTCATGCTATAGGAACGTGGATAACATGTGCTGTTCATAACCATCCGTCTCCCGACCTCATTTAGCCTTGCTATTCTCACCTGGCCAAAAAAAAAGGTTCAGAATCTAATCTACAGCAGCTGATGTAGATGGGAGTATCTAGCTAAAGTCTTTAAGACTGGAGTGTGGGTGTAGAAGTGGAACAGGGTGGAGAAGTGCAGCGGATAGTATGAAATTAAATCTTCAAAGACACTTAGAAAATTATTATTTATGGTTTGAATTGGGTAAAGCTTATTGCGGGAAGGACAGTTTTGGGGAAAAAAAAGAATAAATAAATAAATAACAGAACTTAGTGTTAATAGTTTCAGATTCCACAAGTGTTTTATGTGGTTGAATATCTCGCTAGTCTCAAGCCCAGGAGGCAGTTCGGATAATATTTCCTATTTGTTTGCACAAATATCCTGCCGTGGCTCGCTGGACGAGCCAGGTTTAGGATGTGTGTCCCTGCTCCCATTCATTTAAACCTAACAGCGTCTTCTTTCAATGGTAAATGGTAATACCATGCTTGTGACTGTACTACTATTACTACACAAAATCCCTTAAAATGCTGCTGTTATTTTTAAACTTTCTTCTCTGAAAGGGTTAATTAATCAAGCTAGAGCCTTACAACTTTGTGCCCCTTGAGGACTCATTTTATTACAATGACATACCGGGTTAGCTGCTTCCCTTGATCCAAGTGTTTATGCTAAGCTCAGTGAATTATCTCCAGCTACATATTGATTACCAGTATGATTGCAGTACCAATCTAAACATTGCAACTCTCAGTGAGAATACAAAAATGAAAGTTTGCAGTCCTCTTGTTAATGTGTCAGTATAGTCCTTGCGTGCACCTAACATTTTCTCTTTCCCCCAGGGACCTCAAGCACAACTTAATCAGCACCATCATGCCTGGAGCCTTCCAAAGCCTCTCTGAGCTTCGGAAACTGTAAGTAGATATTAAGATGACCCACATTTCACTCGGGTTCACAACTCAATAAACACAGAGAGTTTAATCCTAAGGTTTAGCATAAGATGGACGGAGGTTAGTTTGTTGCCCAGATTGGCTGTAGTCAGGAGAAAACCCACATATATATATTTTTTGGAAGCTCACAGATGTCATATGTCATATCAGGTTCATGGTGTTATTGTCACCATAAAAGCTTCCTTTCCTAAATGTTTCTGCAGAGGGGACACTGGGATGTCATCTGTGAGCCCCGCTTCAAACCTCAGGGCTCCTCACACGCAATTGAATGTGACAAGGCGGCTGTTTGAGGCCGTTTGCTGCTCACTCATTGTGTTTTTGGACACCGAGGTCTGGTTGCAGCGTGGGTCCAAAGAGGCTCCTCGGCGCAGCGCCGCATGACTCCCTTTCCCTCCTCCCCCTTCTTGTGTTTTCCCTGCAAGGTCTGGGGCTTCTCAAAACAAACAGATGGAGATAAACACATGCTCTGGACAGCTCTCTGCTGGGTAGTGTCAGAGGTACAACAGAGCAGAACCCTCTCTGACTGCAGATATACATCACACTCAGAGGTGGACAGCAGAACTGGGGCCCTGCTTTTACCCCAATGATGATAAACTCGTACTTGGGTCCCTTTGTGTCCTGATAAGGAGAAGTAGCCAGAACTGTTGGAACGCTTCTTTAACTTCCCAAATATTAAAATATATAATGTTCTGACTACAGTTGAATACAGCTACTTAATTTTTAAAGACATGAAAGGAGATCCTATACAAGTTATTGTATATGTTTCTTAGACAAATGACATTTCACATCAGTAAAGCAATGCGGCCACTGAAAGAGTCAAGACACCACAATCTGGTGCTGAGTGATTGAGAAAAGGCCTCTTAATTTGAAAATAACTGACCACATTCTTTTGTCTTTTACACTTTTAGTGACCTTTCCAACAACCGCATTGGCTGCCTGACTGCAGACATGTTCCAGGGGCTGACCAATCTTACTAAACTGTAAGAGGCAGATGAATTGATTCGATTAAAAAAGGTCCTCTATGAGTTACAGCAAAGCTATGAAGTTACACTGTTCATATCTAATTTGTGTTCTGTTAGGAACCTCTCTGGCAACATCATATCAACCATGAATCCAGGGGTGTTTGAAGAGTTGCCGTCCCTCAAGCTAGTGTGAGTATTAAACTCTGTCGGCCTTTCGTTCCCCCGAGGTTACCCTCACGGCATACCAGTCCATAGTTTAACAAAATATTTTTGGACATCCTAGACAAAGATAACATTTATTTTCAATTAATATTTATTTTCCCGTGTGTATGCCAACCGTGTTTCACAGTGAAGCCTGTGTCAAAGCTCAAATAATCAAAGAGGATTTATTTGACATGTATTTATTTTCATTTGGATATTTTGGTCTATACTGTGCATGCTTTTTTTAAAAAAAACCTGAAAGCATATCATTTATGCTACCGTAAAGAAACATTGAAGTTTATCTACAAACATTTCAAAACTGAACCACAGACTGTATATAAAAGATGGACATGGGCATGAGATATTTGTGAAGTGGCTGTTTTTAACCCGTGTGTTTGTTATTTTGTCATCTTGTGTTTGTGGAGTCAAAATGGACCATATTAGGAGAAGAGAGTGGACTTGCTAGCTTAGCAAGCTAAGTGCAAAACACAGATATGGATATGTGCTAATTAGTGCTAACATTCAAATTAAATAGTATTAGAATAATGTTAGAATTTAACTCATCAAAATTGGAGCACAAAGTTCTTTGATGGTCTGTTAGTACTATTTACAATACAACACATTAGTTAATGCTTTAAAAAACACAAACAGGTGAAGTGACGCCTAGCTGACGGCTAGTGACTTTATCTGCCTGTGTCTACACTTGCCTGTCACTCCAAGCAGGCACATCCTTATCAATGCATGTCTTTAAGCTTTTACAATATTTTAACTGTAGAGATCATAATTGTTTCTGTACCGGGCTGTAAAGATGTTTTTGTGCTGTAAAATTGAGCATTTAAATATTGGAGTGTTTAGCAATAGTTTGAGTCAGTTTCAAGTGGACTTTGATTATTTGCTTTTCATGTACAGTCCTGCCCATGTTTGAAAAAAGCTTATGAGTCAGTTCATTTCATTTTACATCAAGCCAACCAGCATGTAGAGGTGTGACATTTTGTGGCATTTCCTGTAGGTAAAAACTAGAGCTCAGTCAAACAGAGTAAACATGGAAACTCTCCTAAGGCACCATTGGTTCTCCCTTCAGGAACTTCAACTCAGACTACCTAACATGTGACTGCGAGCTGCAATGGGTCCCGAACTTCTTTCGCGGCAGTCCAGCACGGCTAGGGGAAGAAACCCTGTGTGCCTACCCCATGAGCCTGAGGGGAAAGCCCCTGCGTGGACTAAGGGAAAGCCATCTGAGCTGTGGTAAGAGCCTGGCAGCAGTGAGGCATATGAATGAGGCGGTTCACCACTTTATTTCAGAGAATGTTGCACTGTGAATGACAGCAACAGTTCACTCATTATGAAGTTCAAGCTCATCTCAGCTATTTCAAGGATTAACCGACCAAAAAAGGGTTGAACAAAATCAATCCCCGCTGCTCTGCGGGGACATATTTCCAAAAGGCTCAGTGAGTTGTGTTGACAGCTAATCCTGTGGGTTGAATTTACCAATTGCTGCAGTCTGCATCCAGTCTGCTCTAGAACGGCAGACTCATAATAGCTTCTGTGGAAAAATGTAGCTGAGGCTTGGTAATGACAGAGCAGCACAAGCAGTTCCGAGCGATGTGTAACCTTCACATCTGCATCTTTTCCCACCGTGTTACTCAGATGGTCCTCTGGAGCTGCACACCATGTCACTGCTGCCGTCTCAGCGTCAGGTGGTCTTCAAAGGCGATCGGCTGCCCTTCCACTGCGCTGCTGCCTTGGTGGACAAGATGACCACTTTACACTGGCGTCACAATGGTCAGCCGGTGACCACTGATCCAGAAATGGGTGTCCAGCTGGAGAGCAGTGTCGTGCATGACTGCACCTTTATCACCAGGTGTGGTAAATAGAGCAACGCAGACAGAGTAGTAGTAGATCAGATGAGTTGTTTTCGTTTTAGTGCAAAGACAGTCCTGAGTAAAAAAAAGAAAAAGGGAGAGGCTTTATTAGTTACAATATTATGTGTTAACGATGTGTTATAATGAGCTGTCACTATCATCTTTATCCAGTGAGCTTATTCTATACGATGTGCATGTGGAGGCCAGTGGAGAGTGGGAGTGTGTGGTTTCTACTGGGAGGGGCAACAAGTCTCTCACCGTTGAGATAGTGGTACTGGAGAACAGTGCCTCCTTCTGTCCAGAAGATAAAGTTGTCAACAACCGTGGGGAGTTCAGGTCAGTTAAAGCTTTAAATATATCCTGTATATTATAATATGGAACATACGATATAAAAAAAAAGATTCAGGCCATTATTCTCTGGCATTTATCCACAGGTGGCCAAGAACTCTGGCAGGAATTACCTCCCACCAGTACTGCCTGCAGCTGCGTTACCCTTCCCTGTCTGTTGAGGGGGGCATGGAGCAGAAAAAAGCCTCTCGCTATTGTGACCGTACTGGAAAATGGGAGGATGGCGACTACTCAAACTGTCACTACACCAACGGCATCACACGTGTCTTGCATACCTTCATCCTGGTCAGTCGCAGCGCTGTCAGCGCCGTAGTATGTTGGTTCAATAAACATTCGCAGCATGACGTGACTCCTTATGTCCTCACCATATTTCCGCTCTTGCTTTTCAGAGGCCCATCAATGCATCCAATGTTGTCACAGTGGCACATCAAGTTCGCACATACACCCTGGAGGCTGCTGGTTTTACTGACTCGGTCGATGTACTGTACATGGCGCAAATTATGGAGAAGTTTATGGAATATGTGACACAGATAAAAGAGGTGAGGGCACTTTAAGTAAATGTAGTAATATATTCTCTAGAGTTCCTTATTAAATCTCCTTTTAAATTTCCCTGTGCTCCAGTTGTTGGCGGTGATGGTGGAGATGGGCAGTAACCTGATGCAGGTGGATGAACAGATTCTCGCTCTGGCCCAGAGAGAGAAGAGAGCCTGTAGTTCTATAGTCAACTCCCTTGAGACATTGGCTTGGTCTCAGCTACACAGTAATGCTAAAGAATTTTCCATGGTGGGAACTATTAACTGTTTTTTATATATTTATCATGTGATTTTCAACAGAGCATGCTTGCTGTGAAACCTGTGAAATCTTTCTATAGTTCATTCATGCAGTAGGAAATGCATGTGTGTCTGATTTAGAAGAGCGATGCATGTCTTTAATCATATTTCTGTGTGAAATTGTCTGTGTAATGCAACAAAACCCATAGTAATGTTTAAATGAAAGTGTCAGGGTGTTTACCTTGCCTGGGTGACTTCGTGTTTACAGATGTCTAAGAACATTGTGATGGAAGCCCATCTAATTCAACCTGCCCACTTCACTGGGATAACTTGTACTGCGCATCAGCAGCGTGAGGTGTCAGTGGGCAACCAGGGAATGGAAACGTCAGAGTCTGTCCATGAACAGCAGCTTCGCGTCCACTGTAGCACTGGTGCCCATAACACCTCTCTCAACAATTTTTTCCTAAAGGTGAGGCTTATGCCTTCTTGCATCCGCCTGTTCTGCCTACTTCATTAATAACCACATCATATAGACACGGACAGTTTAGGTTTAATGAAGGATTTTGATACAATCAACATTTGCAGTTTGGCTTCTTGTGTGACTTACACCTTTTTTAATTCTCCAGAATTCTGTAGCCTTGGCCTCGGTGACTCTTCCAGCTAATCTGTTTGCTTCGGATGCTGCAGCAGACTGTAAACTGCAGTTTGTAGCCTTTCGAACAGGCAGCTTTTTTCCTTTGACTGGGAACTCGAGCACCACTACTGAACACTCCCGCAGACGCACTGTCAACAGCCCTGTAGTCTTTGTAGGCCTAGGTAAGGAAACCTTTAGTATATTAAAGAGACTCCTTTTATTTATTTATTTATTTATGCATATTTAAAGTTAATGTTTTAAAGTTAAAATCATGGGTGTTTGGATGCTCTGTATGCTTAGGCATCATAATAAAACACATTAGTGTAATTCTTCTGTTCTGTGACAGCTACAAACATCATAATTATGCTTCAGGAGGAACAAAGAACGAACCACTTTGTGCTTATTTGAATTAATTAAATATGAAAAATCTCTTGCAGTCAAATGGGACAGTTGCTTTCTTCACCAAACGTAACCCGGGTATAATTTTTACAGATCCGATACTGTGTGAAACTCAGTATAATGAAAGGCTACTTTGTCTGAACCACTGCACCAGAAAAACCTTGGGACTGTTCTTTGTTCGTTGCTTGTTTTTGCCTTGGCAGGTTTTTCTCTCTCTTTGCCAAGAGTCATTTTGCAAATTGTAGCGACCAATCATGAAATATAAACAAAGCCTTCAATCCATTTTTTTGCACTTATACCCCAGTTTATGTAATTGTTTTTACAAAAACAACCAGGTGGAAAGTAGAATGCATTGGGTATTCTATTCAGTAAACAGTAGGTTTTTATTTATTTATTAATTTCATTCTGTGACAGATGGTTGCAGCATGCAGAACAATTCAGACCCCATCTGGGTGTCACTCCGCCACTTGTCTCCTGGTACCGATGCCGTGGCAGCCCATTGGAGCCTTAAGGGACCGGAGAAGCAGGGAGGCTGGAGTCAGGAGGGCTGCCAGTTGGTCCGCAGTGACAGCAACACCTCCACCATGCGCTGCTCTCTGCTTAGCAACTATGCCGTTCTGCAGGTAGGCTCAAAAATGTAATGATTCATCCAAGATCACCGTGGCTAAATGAGAGTTAACTTGACTTCTGTGGTTTCTAGGAGGTACCCGACTTCCCTAGCTCCCCACTGACTGTGAGGGTGCTCCATCCAGTGGTCTATGCCTGCACTGCAGTTCTGCTCCTTTGCCTCTTTACTATCATCATTACACACATACTGCACCACAGGTACTGTAGTGTATTTGCAATTTCTCGCTACTATTTATTTATTTTTTGCTTCATTATCTAATTAGCTTACTCTTCTCCCATAGTTCAATATGCATATCAAGAAAAAGTTGGCACACATTGCTGAATACCTGCTTCCACATTGCAATGACAACAGCGATATACGCAGGCGGCATAAGCTTAACAAGCTATCCAGTCGTTTGCCAAGCAGTAAGTTTTGAATTTCAAGTATTGCATTTTTTTAGAGGAATTTAAGATTGATGTCTGATCTGACAACATTACATGACAGGTTGGCATTGCCTTGCATTACTCCTCGCTGTCAACCCTGCTGTGGATTGGAGTCAGCGCCAGGGTGATTTACAAAGAGGCTGTGTGGAGAATGCCCCGGCAACCAGATGGAGAATCTCCTGTTCCGCCTACGCAGCGACCTATGCTCAGGTCAGTGAACAAGATTCAACTCACCTTCGCCCACTTCCTTTACTGTGAGATTATTGCTTGTTGTCAATAAGGTTTATATTTTGGGCAGATGCTGTAATTCTTGTGTGTGACCACCCAAAGTGTGCACGATCAAAGGTGGTTATTGTGCCCAATGGCTAAGGGGAGGGGGAGGGGGGAAAGGGGCATGAGACCACCATAAGAGAATGAGTGGGAGTTGTCATGAATCTGAGCATATCTATCATATCCAGTATTCCCGATTTTCTTCTCTTCCCGCTTTCCTGTTCCTGTGATCTAGAGGTTGTGCTCATACTACACTGTGCCTCTGACCTCCAGCCACCATTTGTTGCCTATTCAGCCACATTAGATGAGAACATAGATTCTGGTGTCTGTGCTGACCCATGTAACACTGTGCCTACTAAGACAGCCAAAGATCATAAAGCGCTGCACATGATAGAGAGCCAGGAATACATTAAAACACCAAAAGGAAAAGAAAAAAGATCATGGAAGCCGAAGGTCAAACATGCACAAGAATCGCTTTTTATCTCATGAGTTTGATATGTGTCTCTCTGTTATTCAAGGTTCTATTTGATAGCTGATGGTGTTCCTCTCATCATTTGTGGGATCACAGCAGCTGTCAATGTTAACGACTATGGAGACAACAGCCCTTAGTAAGTGCCTCTCTTTTTACCCTTGAGCCATTTGGCCCTTGACTTTGTGTTGTTTGGATTGCTGCTGAAGCGAATGACACACAAAGATGTCCTTGTTTTGTGCTGACTCTCCTGCAATCTTTTCTGCCTCTTGCAGCTGCTGGCTGGTCCGGCGCTCCAGCCTGGGGTCTTTCTTTGTCCCCGCTGGCCTGGTGGTGTTGGTGACCTGGATCTATTTCCTGTGCACTGTTTTTCGCTTGAGGCGCCGTGGGGCCAAAGAATGCACAGGAACCACTCTGTCTTCTCCTGTGACCGAGAGCCATCCTGCGCTCGCAGGAAGTACCAGCCTGCTCTCCACAGACTCAGTGACTGGACCTGTACACCCTGTTATGTCTCCAGAGGATCAGTATTCGCTCAAGACACAGTTCTCTGTGCTGGTGGCCACCCACTTCCTGTTTGTGGCTCTGTGGTGTTGTGCAGCCATGGCAGTGTGGCTTACAGGTCACACTAGCTTGTTGTTTAGCTGTCTCTATGGGATAGTCGCAACAGTTTTGGGGGGTTTTCTGGTGGTGCACCACTGCTTCCGGCGACGAGATGTCCAGACCTCTTGGCTGGCTTGTTGCCCAGGCTATCAACGCCCTCATCCCATGTCTACCTACACCCATACCTGCACTACTGGGAGTGGGGTCCAGACCTCTGAACAGGGATCCCAGCTTTTTATCAACTGCCATCCACCTGGTGACTCTCATAATTCCTCATCAGCTAGGTCGTCATCCACACCAAGTGGGATCAGCAGCGTGGGCCCAGGGCCTTGCAAGCTCACCAACCTGCTGCAGGCGACGCAAGACAATTCAAACGGCACTTCACGTGCTCCTACGGGCAACAACACTAGCACCAGTACTGACAACATCACCAAGCCTACAAACAATGTTCTGCCCACCATTAACTCTGCAGCCCCAGGACAGCCCCAGAGAAGGAAAGCGAGCAGCAGAACTAAACAAGGCAGTAGTCAATACTATCATCGGGGCGAGGGCAGAGGTCACTATCGTCTCAAAGCTCTAAGGGCTGCTGGAGGTGGGGGCAGTCTTGGAGCTTTAGGGCCCATAGGTTTAGACCACCTCAGTTCATCGCATGCTGTTTACAAACAAGCCACAAGTGAGAATGGCAGCATTCACCACAGTCTGTCAGAGAACCAGGCCAGCGTGCTGACAAACGGGAAGCGAGTGGGAGAATCAGTAGCTACGAGCCCCTCGGAGGGAAGCGATGGAGGCAGCAGCGGGAGTCGCAAACCATTCCCCCTGCTGCCATCGATGGCCAGCCGAGTGGCCATGCAAAACGCTCAGAGGCGATGTGCCAGCAGAGACAATTTAAAAGTCGCAGCTTCTGCGGAAACAAAGCGCTGCTCCTACCCTCTGAACGGCGACACCGCCACTGTGCCGGGGGCCGCTGGCCAAAATGGCAACCTGAAAAACTCTGTGCTGGAACTAGAGCAGGACATGAGTGGCACAGACCAATCACAGAGCTCTGTTGGAATGAAGAGTGGTTTGTGGAAAAGTGAAACCACGGTGTAAAATATGCTTACATGTGAACAACTATGCATGTCCTTAATGAACTCTTGAATGACTGGGTTATGTTTCAACGGTCTCTTAATAATTATCTAATTTAAGATATAATATCATGAAGGCATCCAGGACCCTAAACTGGTACTTTTGCCTCAGTAGCGTTGAGAGAGTTTGCTGTGAAATGATTTAAAAAATAAAAAAATACTAAGGCAGGTGTTTTTATTGTCATTTTCAAAAATAAGATACACATTTATCTTATAAAAAAAATGTACAAGTCATTTCTAAAATTGGCATATGATGTTGATTTTAGATGTCTAATGAAAGCTTTAATGTTTTAATTGTGATTTTTCTATGCATATCAACTATAGCATGAAATGGTTTATGAGATGGGCCATTTCCAAAGTCAAGCTATATGCATTTAATCCGTGGAAAAACTTTCACCCTTATGTGCGCTTCGAATAACTGGTTGTGTTACTCATGTATGCACTTCTATGTTGTCTGCAAGTTTATGCTTCAGTGTGTGTGTGTGTGTGTGTGTGGTTGTGTGTGTGCGCGCTCACTCAACAGAAGAGGATTTGCGTGAGTGTGGCTGTACAGAATCTCAGAGTGAAATAAAAAGGCTATGCGAAACTTTTAAATATAAAAAAATGTTTCCTTTTCATTTCTATGTACTCCTATCAGCACTGCTGGAGCTTCTCTTGTGTGATAAATTCACAATATACCCACTCAGACCTTGTCTGATCTAATACCTGAATGACTGCCCCCTCCTGGATAGCAGAGGAACCTGGATTGAGATTTCCTTTAAGCTGTATTTAGCAGGTTTTTGATGGTGGTGGTCGAGCTGTTTGTAATTTAGGGGCCACCGTAGTATTGCCTTGAGTTGACTCACAAATCCAAAGCCATACTTCTGTTTTATGAGCTTTTTAATGCACTTGCAATTCAGGAAATTACATTAACAGGAAATAGTATTTCTGCTACGCACCTCATTGCCACGTTTCTCCATTGTTCTCTGGGCAACACACCCTGTGTTGTTACACTTGTTGCTGTGTCATAATATGCTCTTTCTTTGTCATATTTTATTATATAGGAGTGGTATGATTTTGTTGATTAGAAAGATAGACTTGTCTGGTTCATTTAATATCATGGGCGATAGGTATGCATATAATCTTAATGTTGCCTCTCTATCAGTAACTATGCTTTTGTTAACAATTTCCAATTTGCAAGTTGCATGCAAGACAATGTCTTTATTTAAAAGGAAAAATAATCAGGTCACTAAAATATTCTGTTTAATTTCTGATGTATTTTTCTTTGTGCCAAAGAAAAACCTTTATGTTGCTGAAGAATGGAGCCACAGCTGCTTGTTGCTTGATTTCAATAATTCAGATCTTTAATTATTTATAACTGAATGTTGCATTTTGTAAATAACCCAATCGTCTTCATTTACTGAAATATCCCGTGGAGTGTACTCTATTTTGCAATTACACAAGCCTACAAAAACCCAGTATTATTGTGGTCATATGAAATATTGTGTTCTTAATATGATGTTCATTTCATTAAAGGGACATTGCCTGAAAATAATTTGCAATGGCTTAAACTTTGTTGAAAGGGGCCTGGTAGATAAATGAATTCATAGTTGCTGTATGATAGGATTTTAGATGCCCTCAGATTTATGTTGCTGTGACGTAATTTCATAAGTCTTACCTGTAACACACTGTTCCCTGTGCTCCCGCAGGCAAAGAACAATGTAAAAAACAAAGTAAGACAAAAGTACATTACATTACTGGTAGTTTTTAAATTAATGACGTAAAAACACAATATTTTTTGTAATTATTTTTTGCTTAATAATAATAGTAATTTAATTTAATTATTAAAAACATTCGTTTTAGACTTAACAAATAAAAAAAAACATTTGTAAAAATGTGTTGTAAAAATGTTTTTACGTTTTAAAAAATGGCCATTTTCTGTCCCTTACAAGCACGCAATTACCAGCACTGGACTCAGTTCGGTGGTAACTGCTGACCTCTTTCAGTCTTGCATTGCGTTTCCCAGGCTAAACTGATTCCTGGTCAGTGCTTTTCAGCCACGGTTAACGGTCTGTGAGTTATTAAAGCCCTCCTCCTCTGCGGTCCAATCGCTAACTGACTTTTTATAAACGACTGAAGAATTGGCCAATCAGAGAGCGATATGTAGAGTATGGGCGGGAACTCCTTACATCAGGGAAGTAAACTATTCAACTTGGCGGAAAGAACTGTGTTTATAAAAGCCTCTTGAAGGATTTAGTTGCGCTACAGTGCCCTGGTTGGGTTACCTAGGCTAATATTACCATGCAAATGGTAAAGTAAGTGTGAACTGAACTCAAATGTTATCAGAGGCTGAGGCACAGCCTTCCAAAGAGGAGGGAGAAGTATTACGACATCATACTGAGCTTCCCGAACTGAAGTCAAGCTAAGTAACCCACACCTAGAACCGCAGAGGACGCCGAAGGTGAACAACAGAGTTCAAGAAAAGGTTAACCAGTCTTCCGTTTTATTGAGGTATTTTTCGAGACAGTTCTGAATAACTTTTAGTAAGGCTTGACGGACTTTAGCGATGTCTCTGGCCGACCAGAGCCAGCAGTCGTATCCTACGAGTGTCCAGGTAACGGTGCACCAGGCTCGGAACCTGCGTACCAAGGGAAAGAATGGCACCAACGACTCCTACGCCATCATCCAGGTGGCCAAAGACAAGTTTTCTACCTCCGTGGCTGAGAAGTCTGTCGATCCGGTGTGGAAAGAAGAGGCTTCGTTCGACCTGCCGCTCTTCCACCCGGGAAACTCTGAGCGCTGTATGCTATATATCATAGTAATGCACCGTGCCCAAGTGGGGCTGGACAAGTTCTTGGGCCAAGCTGTGATAAACCTGCTGCAGCTTTATGACAACAAGGCTCGCAAAAAGACAGAGTAAGTGTCAGCTAAGCAGTTTTGGGAGGGGTTTGGGGTCTCACAGATTCCCCCATTAGTTCTGACTAAGTATGTTTAAGTCTTCTTTTACGTTTATAATGAGTCTGGGTTTTAGTGCAGCAGCAGCCTTAGAGCACTGCACAATGAAAAATGACTATCCAAATAACTTTCGTTTCAGAGCTTCATATAGAAGAGAAGAGAATAGGGCCCTTTATTGTCATTGTACATGTACAATGAAATTCTAGGTGCTCCACACAAACCGTGCCGGAATAAACTATAAATAGTCGACAGTAGAAATAAATGGGAAACAGGAGAAATGTATATACAAAACAAGAGAGAAGTATACAAAAATAAGAGATAGGCACACAGTGGAGAGCAAACTAGTTGCAAATGTAATGTAGTCTAGACCATAAGGCTAGGTTAAATGCATTGTTTCTAGGAAGAGGTAAGTAAGCTGATATCGAGTTTATTTCCACACAGTTCTCTAGCTGGTATCTATATTCTGCTAAAAAAAAAACGTTTCCCACTGAAGGGAACAGACTTTGAAGAAGCAGTAATCTTAATAAATGTTACAGCCAAAGTGCCACCAGTTTTACTGTGACTGGCTTATCATGTGTCACAGTGTAATTCCAGGGCTGTATATTAACTTTCAGAATCACTGGGTAGTTGGATTAGATTTTTACCTCTCAGCTGCAGACTTTAACTTTGCTTCAGCTATTCTGAGGAGGTATTAGCATACCTATTGGGCTTTATAAGTGCCTGTCTGATGATCTAGTTTACCAGCATTTGCTTTGCCCAAAGTAAGTCTAACAATTTACCTACCATTTACCACCAGATTAGCTTTTTATTCAATTAAAAAAGGAATTCCAGAAGAATTTATGTCAATGTTTGTTATAAAGCGGCAGCACGGCTTATAGTCACTGAGAATTACATTATGTGAAATACTCTGGAGCATCTTTTGACTTTGTATGTGTCCACTGTGAAACACAGCAGTGAATAATGTCATAGTCATTGGGTTTATTGGTTTACTGACTTTGCAATTGCAGGGCTTATCTAGACAAGTTGAGTTTCTAGACACCCACTTGAATAATTCAGTGTTCTGATGTGATATATTTCTTTTGGTTTGCTGTTAAAGATAAACATGAACGTGGGTGGAGCCTCTGTCCTCTTCCTCTTCCTTTTTTCTTTTGTGTTTGGGTTTTAAAACCATCCACTGACTTGCTTGGAAAATGGTCTGAGATCATTCTTTCCTTTGCTTGTCTGTCGTCATTGGTCCAACCCTGCATGCTTGTGGGTTCACTTTTACTTCACAAATTATTTTAAGACAATGACAATCACTAATGCTTGATGGTGGAGGCATGCCTTAAAATCACTTAGCTTTTGTTAATCCTGAGCATTCCTCAAGACTAGCTTAAAATATGTCTGTTCACACCCAGACGCATTACATGAATGGCGCTGACATGGGTGTAACGTGGGTGTAACGTGAATCCAAACAGAGCTTTGCTTTAGAATTGTCAAATTGGGTTGGACACCCTCTTATGTAAAAGAAATGTTAAAAATAAAGGTGGTTTATTTTAGGCTACACTGGTAAAACTTTCCCAGTAACTTTGAAGTGACCTTTGGTAATGAATGAGTGAGGTAGCGCTTGCTACTTCTTAGTAATCACTCACCCCGGGGGCAGCCTAGATTATGGTGCTGGAATGACCTCATGCTCTTGGTTATTGTACCACCATATTTGAAATGTTATCTTTTGTTTGCTCAGGTTCTTTTTCCATGTTCATGCCAAAGTTCATTCCCTGCTATTTCCATTTCATAACTGAGCTCCTTCGTTCTCCTGCCTTGTCCTGCTCCTCCTGTTCTGTAAGATGCAGTATGCGTGCAGGGGTATTGGATGTTGCTGGTTTTCCCTTGAAGTATCTGGTGTTAGATTACTGCGCTGCTCCCCTGTTGTGCTGATACAGGGTGTGACACCGAAGGCTTTGTTTTCCAGTTGAAAGGGAACCTGACACTTTTCCTCTAATACAAAACAGTTTAGCGAGATGAAATTAGGTTTTAAGGCCAGACATCAGATAGATACACAGATAGATAGATATCAGTTTAACAATTTACTTGGACTTACTCATCTTTGCAGCTCCATTGGAGTGCATTTTTTTCTATGAATGCAAGTTTTACTATCTTAATATACCAGATTGTTTTAAATGTTTTTTTTTTTTCAAAGATTCCTCTAAACTTAATTTTTCACAAGTAGGATATTGAGCTATACTGCATTATGAATGATCTACAAGTAATAGTTATTTTTGCACCGTATTGTCCTAAATCCAGTGTTTATTGTCTCAAATGACAAAGCAGGAAATTCCAGCCATTTGAAAGTTTCAACTTGCAGGTGGTTGAAAGTTCTGCTGAAACACTCACTGAAATGATTCATTTAATTTATTGTCCAGTTTCCAGGTAATCCGTTTCGCCTTTAGATGTTATTTATGTAGGTTTTAAATTTTAAAAATGTCAAACAGTCCATTAATTTGTCTCTGCAGAGGCAGTAAGGACAAGATCTTGGATAGATATACTTCAACATGGAGAGCATGACAGGGCGAACACTCAAGATAAACAAATCACAAACTCAAACAGAAAAATCATTGTATTTACAAATGCCTCCTCTCAGCTTGGGGTCCTGGATACATTAGAGTAATCTACAACAGCGGTCCCCAACCCCCTGTGAAATGTACGGTTTTCAGGGTTTTTATCGGTTTTCAGTGTTATTTTGTTATCGTTTTTATCGTTAACTCTGTTTTCCTGGGACTTTTAACGTGTGTTATGAATAAATCTTCTTTTTTCAGTACCGGTACTAGTTTTATTTTGTTGTATTTATCCGCGACACCTTAAAGGCCGGTCCGTGAAAATATTGTCGGGCATAAACCGGTCCGTGGCGCAAAAAAGGTTGGGGACCGCTGATCTACAACATATTTGTGGTGGTACCGCTTTTGTTTTTGTCTTCTACCTTCCCGGTGCCTGAGACATTAAAAAGTGGTATCGACTGTTCTGTGTTTTGTTGCCTGGAGCTGAAGTCTCTCGTCTCTTATAAAGACTCAGTGGGCAGTGAGGAGGTGGTGCACGCTGTGCCCAGCTGAAGTGGGTACTCTGTTTTTAGAGTTCTTGATAACTGTGCTTGTTGGTGTGATTGCAATCAAAACTGTTGCAAACAAAAAGAAACAAATAATAAGAGTCTTCTAACCTTTTCAGGAGCTCCCATCTACCACTGCTATGCAGAACTACAGCACACTTATTGGGCTAATATGAGTTGTTTAGAACATACATAAATGAACAAAGTGCTAAAATTAACATTTTAATCTAAAAAGAAAATAAAAATATAAGTAAAAGCAATAACCTTGATAAAAACATGGTAAAACAGACACTAAAAAGTATGCTTGAGAAGAAATTGAGATAAATGGTCTGGAGCTAGTCGCTGTAGTGCTCTGTATGCAGTCATGAGAATTTGAAAACAAATTCTTCAATCAACTGGGAGCCAGTGTAAAGAGTATAATATAGTGGTAATTAGAGCAGGGCGATATGGCCAAAAATATTTATCACGATATATATTTGAAAATTTGCGATAACGATATAACTGACGATATAATTGATGCGAGACAAAATAC